TCAGCGGGCCTCGCCGTTGTGTCCAGAGCAGAGGGATTTCCGGCCTCGCAGCCCCGCCACAGCGGGCGCCCAACAGCCCAGCCCAAGACGTTCCTGCAGGCAGGGTGCAGGGCTGGGGGGTACCAGCGCAGCGCAGCGCCCCTCGTTTTTAGCCGTGCCGGGGGCTGCGCTATGGGGACAGCCAGGCGCCCCTGCCACGGGCACAGGTATGGACGCACTCCCACGCAAGGGTTTTCTGCAGGTGCGCTGGGCACCTGCAACTGGTGTGCGGCAGAGAACCTTAGTATTTCCTGGAACTGCCCCAGTCTTAATGGGCAGATCCAGCTAACCTGGTAGGAAAGTAATAGGATCCCCAAATCGTTTATTGGGGAGACTAGTAACTGTGGAGGACAGACTAAGATCCTTTCCTTACCTCTTTTAAATCAACATTTCCCTTAAAATCTGAAGACAGGTGGGTTGGGACCAGAAAGAATTAGCAGATCCTGAATTACCTGACTTCCTGCATACCACAGTCCCCACATACAGCGATATCCCAAAATCAAAATTAGTCCAAAGTATTACAGGCCACAGGAGATTATACTATTATGTGCCACAAGCAGAGAACATGAAGGGGCAGTCATGGCAAGGAACTGGTCCAGTTAAATATATGCAATTAATCCCAGCGATTGACCCACACTGCTTGCTTCAGAGAGAGACAAAAAAAAAAACAGACGCCCAAAGGTCACTGACAGTCTGACCTGTGGGGAAAATTCCTTCCCAGCTTCAATTAGAGTGATCAATTAGACCCTGGGGAGTGAGCAAGAACCAGCCAGCCAAGCACAGGAGAAAAACCCAGAAAGCATGGTGGACTTTTCTGACCCCTGCGGGTAACTGTCTGAAACATAAGAAAGAAGGAAAGGAAAGAAAAACCCCACCTAGGCTATGTCTAGACTGCAAGCCTCTTTCGAAAGAGGCTCTTTCGAAAGAGAGCGTCTAGACTGCACGGAGAAATTTCGAAAAAGCGGCTTGCTTTTTCGAAAGAAAGCATCCAGTGAGCCTTGATGCTCTCTTTCGAAGAAGCCCTATTTACATTGAAGAACGCCTTCTTTCGAAAGAGGAACTTTCGTAAGAAGGCGTTCTTCCTCGTAAATTGAGGTTTACCGCCATCGAAAGAAAAGCCGCGTTCTTTCGAATTAATTTCGAAAGAATGCGGCTTGAGTCTGGACTCAGGGGAAGTTTTTTCGAAAAAAGGCTACTTTTTTCGAAAAAACCCCTGAGTCTGGACACAGCCCTAGTGACAAATAGACAGTGGGTTTTTAAGGCAATACTGTACCACTAACTTAACACATTGTCAAATTTGAAAAGGTGAGTTATAGATATCCTTCTGCACTTTCCCTTGAATCAGGGCCAGCCTGAGGTATTCTGGCGCCATAGGCGCGTGGCGCCGCTCCCGGGCACACGGCGCAGGAGCGGGCCTGGCCCCGGGGCACATGCGTGCATGCGTGGCCTGGCTACGGCCGCTGGCGCGCAGCCTGGGGCCCGCCCCCGGGGTGCACGGCGCAAGTGTGGCCCAGTCCAGCCCGGTTGTCACTGCTGGCGCGCATGCTGGGCCGTGTAGGGCCCTGCGGTCGTGGGGGAAAGGGCGTTGTTGGCCAGCGCTGCGGGAGCTGTGCGTGTGGTGCCTGATGGCAGCTGTAAGGGACGCCACACGCCCCTTATGGCTGCCATCAGGTGCCCTTCATTGGTTGGCGCCCTGGGCAGCTGCCCGGCTCGCCCATGCCTCCGTCTGGCCCTGCCCTGAATCCTCCTGTTTGTTTATTATTTTATGGTCTGACTTTTCCTATTGTTTAAAATTATTTTAATTCTTTCCCCACCAAAAAAAAAAAAAAAAAAGAAAGAAAGAGAGAGAGAGAGACAGAGAACTTTAACTGCACACTGAACAGTCAAACAGAGAGAGAATCCCTCCCTTCCTATTACTTTCAGTTACAGCAAGCTTAGGTGTTATTTGTCACAGAAGTGGGTAAAACATTTGCAGATAGAAGTGCACATTTAAAGTTGGTTATCATCTCAAAGGAGCAAGTTAGTGACATTTCACCTGTTTCTGTTCAGTGGCATAGATGTCCTTTCTCTTCCCTCCCCCTCCCCCAGCCCCACCTCAAGGTTAGCAACTAGACAGGGATTAATTTTAAGGGCCAATCTACACAATGAAATGTACACAGAAACGATTAGTTTTCTTCTTCCTGTGCAAGGTGTCAATTTATCTTTTTTGTTTGTTTGTTTTTAAAATGTTATAAACATCAGAATGTGACTTTTTCAGCATACCATCAGAAAACCCTTTTTTGGGATGTAAATTGAAAGTCCAACAAAACAAATTGGTATCTAGCAACCTCATGCTGATCTTCATCCTGTCTCCAGGCTCAATTGTCCTACCTCTTGTGGTAAAGGATTTTTACACCTTCTTTCTGGTAGGCCCTATAGAAGAACCCAGGCCTTCCTTTACTCTGGGTTCCCATCCAGGGGCCCTGTAGCAAACAGGCCAAGACCACCTCTTGCATCACCTCCGAAGATCATTTCCTACCTATGTCTGTCTCTAGGCCTTTTCCACAGCCCCTTCCTAGGTACTCTCCCTCAGCTTTTTCACTGGAGCCATTGTGAAGAGCCTCTAATACCACCTGCCACTCATTTGGCTCTGTTGTAGGAGCTTATTCCTTCTCCCTGTTGGTCTTTGATACTGTATTACCGGCCTGCTCCCTACTGGTCTTTCCATCAAACTAAGCATGCTCTTACAGGAAATCTTATCACTAGGGAGTAGTTAACTAAACAAATCTGATGCTAAGCCTAGCTCCCTGTTACCTGCTGATACAAAGTTCAAGATGTTACACAATTCAGTTTGGCGTAACAGTTATCCATTGTCAGACTAATCAAAGCAAGGCAGTCTAGATCTAAACTAGAGTCACCTGAGTCAAAAACAGAATAGACCTTTTCCAACCAGAAAATAATTTCTGCTATTGATGGATTGGAGGTGGAAACATCTCATTGAACTATGCTGCTGACAAGGAAACTTGTCTGAAAGGTAATTTCATCTCTAAACAAGTCTGGGAAACTGCAGAGGGAACTAATGAACAAATTAAACCCTGATGGAGCCAATATCACACCCATGAGTTTAAAATAGTTTCACTGTAACAAATGTTTGCCTAAAAGACACATGTGGCTTCCAAGAAGAGACGAGTACAATTCTGTAAAGGCTATCCCAGAGAATGACTAAAGTTTGACATTGTTGCCCATATTTTCCACTGCAGAATTTTTTTGCATGCCACACTGAAGAAACTCTATGGGGTTTTATCTATCAAAATGCGGCTGGGATTTTCAGAGGATATTTTGGGCATTTGTAAACAAGTTGAAATTTCAGCTTAGTGTACATCCAAAGGCTCAAGTCCTTGACCAGAGATGTCCTGAGTTATACCCAAGCTTAGCAAGACACTCAGACATGTCTACAAACAGGTTGTGGGATGCTAATACATGAAATATTACATGTTCTAGTTTGCAAGGAAACTTACATAAACTTTTGGGTAGGGTAAACCACCTTGTTATAGAAAATGTCTCAAAGACACCTTGTCACCAAGGCACATTCCTCACATGAATTACCTTCTCCTATTTATGATCATATATTGTCCTTGTGGCAACTATAGCAATTGTTTAATATTAACGTATTTGAACTGTCTTTACTGACATTGATATACTATGTCTTTAAAAAAAAATCTCACTGTTTTTTGTCCTTCATTACATTTTTCATTCCTCTCTGTTTGGTTTCTCTCCTCTGGATATAAGTAAGAAAATCTGTATCATAACTGCATTAACTCAAGAAAAAGGCAGGCATCTTGATTGTCAATTCTATAGAAACAGTGGGAAACATCTATTTCCTGATAACAAATGATCTGCTCGGTTTAAGGGTCCTAAACTTTGCTCCTGTCTTTAGGCTTTCCCTATTAGTCGTTATTGTTACATTTCAAATGCAACATGTAGTCAAACCCCTATGTATAAATAGTGCCAATGAGGACATTGTCCTCAACAACAAGAGCTTCCTCTAATTTTTCACAGTGAATCTGGAAGAGACTACAGCATTTAGAACTCAGTTCAACAAACTCACCAATGCTTTGTTTTGATGATTGGTGAACTCTGTTTCTTTTTTCAGGTTCAGGGAGTTGTACTCTACTCTTGCTTGCTCCTCTGTCCAGTTGTCTCAACATCTCCTCTCTTGGGCTTGTTCCAAGGAGATTTTCCCTCTCAAGTTGTTTTGTCAATTGTAGAAAATCCGTCTTTACAGACTCAGCTCTTTAGAGATCAACAAAGTGAGAAAGGACCAGACTTCCTGTTTCACTTCCTCTAAAGTTTTCAAAGTCTCACAGGCAGTGCTTCTCCATGCACAAGCCACAAGAACAAAAAGAACCAATCAAGCACAACTCAGCTATTTATAAAGGCCTCATTGGTATAAAGGCCCTATGAATGTGTATCTTCCATATTCCCTCAAGATTATAGGGCAGCAAATTTTGAAGTATGGCTTAACCCTGGTGTCTGAAGGGGCTCATGACGAAAGTTCAGAGAATTATGTGGCTGCTCCTCCTTTCCTGCTACTAAATCAGTTAAAGTCCTCTCTCTCTCTCAATATTTTCTATCTGTGCAAAACATTGCTTTAGTTTCTTCAGGAACCTGATATGATTGTCAGTGTGAAGAGAGGTGGTTAACGGGACAACCACACTTTCAGTGTATGTTGCAAACGATATTATATATATATATATATCAATGGGCGATTTTTTAAAAAGTATTAGAAAATAAATCTCTTGTGAAGTATATGTTTATTTGATCCCTAGGTTTTCTAAGACCAGTCAGCCTCTTTATTTTTTTAATGGGCAATTGGAAGACATGCTCAGCCTACTGATTCATCCAATCCAGTCTCCTGCTCCTGAAAGTAACAATGTTTCAGAGGAATGGGGAAACCCTCCCACTTCCAGCTAACTGAAATATAGAGGCCAATTGAGCAGTGTTATAAGTAAGAGCATGCTGGCTTCTGCAGTCAATCTTACACCCTCCACTCCCTGTGAGATTTCATTACTCTCGCATATCTAATGATGTACATAATGTTAACTAGTTCTTTTTAAAGGAGCACCTTCCTCTCTTTCTATGTGCTTGAATTTGGGGTGCTTGCTTGCAACCTTAAATAAATTATTCATGCGTGGAAATGAATAAAAAAAACTTTTATTCATGACACTTTGTTCTTCTTGTGATTCTGTATCTTACCAAAGTAAAGATCTGCTTCGTCCAACCCTCATCTAATGGATGTGCCTTATGACTGCAAGCCTGCTGAGTCTTCTCCCTGTCTCAGGCTATGTCTACACTGCAAGGTTTTTGTGCAAAACCAGATATTTTTGTGCAAAAACCCGAGGAGCGTCCACACCTCAAATGTGTTTTTGCTTAAGGAAATCAAGAGTAAAACAGCAGAACAGAGGGCTTTTTCCGCCATAGGTAAACCTCCTTTGAGGTGTGGACGTGCTCTTGCACAAGAAATTTTTGCGCAAAAAGTCTTGTGCAAAAGGCTTCTTGTGTAAGAAGCATGTAGTGTAGATGTAGCCTCATTATATAACAAGGTAGCAATGCCCCTTCACTAAAGAGTTTGTATCTGTAAAAGCTCATCTTCTGTCTGAACACTTACCTGCTGCAATATTTTTTGTTTTCAGATCTCTTGTAGTCAGCTGATCAGCTTATCAAGGGGGAAATTGGAACATCTATTATGGGAGGGGGAGCACTGGTGAGAATCAAGGAAGTTTATGAAGGGAGGGAAGAGTGCACAGTTTGCTGCTTTTCAGATAGTCATTCTCTTTCCTTTCTTCCGCCTCTTTTTCCTGTAAGAAATATCAGGGTGTTACACGAAAGGGTATGGTGGGAGTAAGCCATATTTACCCTGTTGTGTTCCCTGGTATTGTCTTTGAAAGCTCCTATTGGACTTCTTTCCCCATTCTTGGTTTCTTTGAGAAACATTTCATTATATTTGTCTCCCTCATTTTTTTGATTCCTACCTCATTTCTGTATCTTCCTGAGTACTTGCTTTTTGCTACTTCATTTCTTCATTCTCCTGTTTCTCTTTGCACTGTTCCTCTTCTCTCTTGTACTTCTTCACTGTATACCTCCTTTCTTTTGGCCTTTCTAGCTGTCACCTCTCCTTTCCCTGAGAAACATTGTCATGGTTTTGCCTGGCTTCCTTCTCAGCTATTGGGCCTAGGATTTATTTTCACTCTCTGCCCTCCTTCATGTCAGTTTTGATCCTCTCACCTCTGTTCCCTTCTTTGTGCTCTGGGGCATGAGGAAGTACCTGAATCTGTACATGAGGAGCAAAGCAGTACTGGTAAGATCCCAGGACAAGGGCTTGGGGAACTGGTTGGTGAAAGAGAAGGCTGTGGCCTTCAAAGCAGCATACAGGTTTTGTGCTGTCTAGACCAGGCACCTCAGGCTATGTCTACACTACAAGTTTTTTGTGCAAAATCAGCCATTTTTGCGCAAAAACCCACGGAGTGTCCACACCTCAAGTGCATTTTTGCACAAGAAAATCTACAATCAACAGAACAGAGGACTTTTTGCAGTGTAGGTGAACCTCCTTCTTTGAGGCATAACTCCTTTTTGCACGACAGCTCTTGCACAAAAAAGCATCTGTGAATGCTCCGCAGGGGTTTCTTGTGCAAAAAGAGCCTATCTGAAAAAACACAGGTTCTCTGATAGCCATCAGAGCTTTCTTGAGCAAGAGCATCCATGCAGTGTGGACACTGTCTTGCACAAAAGTATATCACAAAAGCAATGCGCTTTGAGGCGTGGAAGCGCTTTTGCACAAGAAGTTTTTGTGCAAGAATTCTTGTGCAAAGGCTTCTTGTGCAAAAACCCTGCAGTGTAGACAAAGCCTCAGTGTTTTAAGAGAGTAACATCTTTTCCATTCCCAGTGAGATCAAATGATAGAGATGCAGCCAGCCGTGTTAGTCTGGTCTAGCTGAAACAAAAGACAGGACTATGCAGCACATTAAAGACTAACAAGATCAAGAGAGAGGAAGCCCCTGAAAGGGAGAATAGGAAGCACTGGGAGTCTCTGCTGTGTACCAGTAGCAATGCAGCACTGGCAAATTGGACCTATTTAAAAAAAAACACACAAGGAAAATACCAGTTGTTCATAATATTGGTAAATAATAAAGAGGTTGGGGCAGGCCTTTGGAGTGGGGGTGGAGAAGGACATTCCTATCTTTCAGGTTGGACTATTATAGATGGACGATTATAGTTCATAAACTAAAAAGAGGTGTTTCTTGCTGAACAGCTGCATATGTGCATTTGCTCATTTTCTTTCCAGCTCCTTTTTACAAGCTGAAAAGGAAATATCTTCTGTTTAACCCCACATTTGTGGCTGCTGTTATCTGCATGCTTCTGTCACCCATAACAATTCCCTTGTGGTCCCTATGGTTGGGGTGTGAATTTGTCTGTGTGGTAGTGTAACTTATCTTATTGTCCTTTGGAAGAGGATACTGGAATAAGTTGCCTTTGATCCTACAGAGGCACAACATTAAGGCCATGTCTATACTTATCCATAGCACATAGATCTATTTTTTTCCTCTTTGAGTGATGATCCCTATATGTGTTCCCAGTGAGTGACTGACAAGCAGCACTTGTTAAGGAGGGGTATATGAAGATCTCTGGATATAGCAGTGCATCTGCTGTCAGTGGTATCCAGAGATGTATCAGGTGCAGAAGCATTGTCTTAAAAAGGTAAGTACCGTATCCCATGTTGCTGCTTTACAGATTTTGACAAGAACATTTTGAAGAGAAGTTACAGAGGCAGACTGAGCCTTTGTAGATGGATCTGTCACACTCTGGGATGGAGTAATATGCATCAGCTTGCAATACAGCATCTTGCATCCTGAAATCTACTTGGAAAGTGTTTGAGAAAAGATTGCATCTGCTCTCACCTATTCTGCAAATGATCTAAATAGTCTAAGTGATTTCTTAAACAGCTTTGTTCTTTGGAAGTAGGACAAAGAGATATCAGAGTGTTCAGAGAATGAAGACTTTTGTTTTCACTGGTGGTGTAGGGTTTCAAGAAGGTGTGTAAATGGATTGTCTGATTCAGCAGAAAATACACTTTGGAGTACATTTACGGGTAGCCCTAGAGAAAGTTTATCCTTATGAAAGATTGCATGTGGTAGATCCACCAGACACACTCCCAGTTCATCTGCTCTTCTTGCTGATGTGATGGCAACTAGAAAGGTGATTTTCATGGGTAACCAGGCTAAGCAACATGAAGCTCTTGGCTCTGAATCCTTATTAATTTTCAGGCAACAAGACTGAGGTTCCATGTCAGGGTAGACTTACTCACAGAAGGAAAAATTCTAACAAGTTCCTTTAGAAAACATACTGTCACAGGATGGGTGAAAACTAAGTGGATATCAATCTGAGGCTACGTCTACATTGGCCCCTTTTCTGGAAGGGGCATGCTAATTTTTCAGATCGTAATAGGGAAATCCGCGGGGGATTTAAATATCCCCCGCGGCATTTAAATAAAAATGTCCACCGCTTTTTTCCGGTGGGTATGTTTACACTACAGAGTTTTGTCGGAAAAATGGCTGTTTTTCTGACAAAATCTGCGTTACGTGCACACTGCAGTCACGTTCTTCCGAAAGTTAATCAAAAGAACAGAGGGTATGTCTACACTACAGCGTTATTTCAAAATAGTTCATTCGAAATAAGTTATTTCAAAATACTGCGTCTACACACAAAATGCATTTCAAAATAGCATTTTGCAATTTTGAAATAGCGCGTCCACACTGAGTGGACTCTGAATGGCATTTAAGGCTGTCCGGAAGCAGATCCAGCAGGGCATCAGGTCAGGAGTTACTTTGTGTAGTTGCTGCCTGAGGCTATCTGAGGCCTGTGCTTAAAGGGACCCCCCTGGACAGCCGGTTCTCAGGTTTCCCTGCTTGTTTACCTACCTGGATGAGGGACAGCAAAGCATTTTGTCTCTGCATGCTCTAGTTGCCCTCACTTGGGACATCACAGCACTCTGCAGCATGGAGCCGGAGCTGCCCCTGGGCACTCTGGTGCTTCTCTTGGACGCGTTGCTGCAAGCCTGGCTGCACTTTCTGTAGTCTGCCATCTGGGAGGTCCATCGGGGGGCTGTCAGTATCCAGGAGGCCCTGCGGGAGAGCTTCCACCCTGAGGAGCACTAAGAGCCTCCCTGGTCTGCCCCACTGGAGGCTTGTGCCTCATTCCTCCCTCATGTCCTTCCACTTACCCCTCCCTAACCCCCCTTCCTAATGTCAAATAAA